TTTTCACATGCTGCTTTAACTTCATCTTGCCTGAGGGTGGGTATGTAGTCAAGCTAAGCCTCTGTTCTGGTCAGCCAAGTCTGTTTGTACATGCCCGACACCGCCAAACTGTGTTAAATTGATTTTCCGTTCAGACCGAAGTTGACCTTGCCACCTTCTTTTGTACTTTTTCCAAATGAAAGAGCCAAATTAAGTGGATAAATCATTCTACAATTAACAGAGACTCAATGCTGAGCTGGAAAGGTTTGGGTTTATTCTCACAGGGACAGGAAAATGTTAAAAGTTTAGCGAAAAGCTAACCAATGTTTTTTGCAAATTGAGGATTTCCAAGTAGGCCAAATGTCCCAGTAATTCTGAAAAAAATTCACCAGATGTATTTGTAATCCCTGACTTAATCCAGACTCAGAGATGAGTCAGCATAAATGAAATAGCAACTAAAAGCTTCTCATCTGCCTGTATTCTTTTAAGATGATTATGAGCAATAAACAGATATGATGCAGTACAAAACAAACCTGTGTTACCTGTTTATAGATCTGTCCCTTGTTCAAACTCTTGATTCTATCCCACTGTAAGTCTCCATTGCTGTCCAAACGTCTAAATGGTCTGGAAAATTAAAAATAGAGATGCTTTAAATCACTGCAAAGTGGTAATTCAGGGTTGGGTATCAATACATTACTGTTTATTATCCATTATAGTTCAGGGTCAGTCATTCTTTTACTTTTATTCGGCAAGGATGTTAAACTGATCAAAAGTGACAGAGACATTTATAATGCTATACAATATTTCTATTTCAAACAAATGCTTTTGTTTTGAACTTTCCATTAATCAAACAATACGGGAAAAAAATGTACCACCATTTCCACAAAAATATTAAGCAGCACTTGACAATAAGAAATGCTTATTGAGCACAACATCAGCATATCAGAATGATTTCTGAAAAATAATGTGACACTGAAGCCTGGAGTAAATGCTGCTGAAACCTCACCTTTGAATCACAGAAATACATTTCATTAAAAAAAAAAA